CTCGGTCGGTGGCCTTCAAAAACAAACACGTTTGTTTTCAGGCCTGCTTATCACGCGATGGGACGGTTTGCATCCAATCACAACAAGGCTCAGTCTCGTGTCTATGTTGACACAGCGATGTAAAGGTCGGCATTTCCGCTTGAATGAGATTATAAAAGGTTATCCACGCTTATGGGGTTACAGTAGGATGTCGCAGCATTGCAACAGGGAACTGCGGAAAGGAGTCCTTGAAAGCCATTGAGGTTAAAGGTTTCTCTACTTTAACTTCCAGGTGGACGGGTATAATCGCGACGGGGTTGTAGTGTGCACTATTACTAATATCACCAGAAAACGACCCGACCCCACGCCCCGACCAGACCCGACCTCACCCGATCGCGAGTCAGATTTGTAACAAACTAGTCATTTATACTGAATGGTTTCAGAACATACAGCAGCCTGCAGGGGAGCGGGGAATTAATTGATGCAGGGGAAATCTTTCTTTAAAAATTGATGGCTATACAAATTTGTAATATTTTGGAATAAAAAATATCGAGTCACTTAAAGAATATTGCGATACATTTTTAAAGATGAAAAATTCCAGAAACTGAATCAGGCATGGAGCTGCGTACGTGTTCAGGGGAGTTGCGTTTTCCTTCTTCAAAAGCTAAAATTGTGACTGTAATTACAAGGCTAGTATTTTATGCCCCCCCCCCTCACCCTTTCCTTCATTCTCTTTAGATTGTTCATCAAAATAATAAAATCGACGAAAACAACATTAGTCCTCCTGGTGTTCAATTTCTAACTGGTTTTTTTCTTTTCTTTTTTTTCCCTCGACATTTTTTGTGTACATCTAAAGATAAATTTCTGAGTGAATTTTATTGAAAACGTTGATCAAGGGCACAAAAAACATATTAATAGATTTGCAGTTTTTTTAAAGACTCTGAAGCTTTGGAAGTTACCAAAGTTGTGGAGCTCCTCTCTTTATGTTTACCTCTGGCGCCAGGCGACACTCACAAATGCCAAAATAACTGATTCCAGCACGTTGTAGCTCAATTATGAGTCGGATTGATCAAATCTACCTTTCAGGACCAACCTAGGGTGAGACAGAGGGATGCAGCGCCTAAGCAGACAGACGAAAAAGATCCCCCCCCTCCCCCAGAACCAAATTCACATTTTCTGACTGCAGAGGCGAACCGTCAAAAAGTTACAGGGACTGCTGCGCAGGGGAACAGCGACTTTGATGTTATCAGCTGATGTAGTCCACTTCTATTATATATATTATATATGCATATTGCTGTTTAAAATTCTAGCTGTAATAGCAATAATAAATCAAAACAAATAAAAATAATAATAATAATAATAATAAAAATAATATCATCATCATCATTATCATATACATAATAATACTAATATTTATAACAACAATAATGATAATAGAAGAAGAAAAAGAAGAAGGAGAAGAAGAAGAAGAAGAAGAAGAAGAAGAAGAAGAAGAAGAAGAAGAAGAAGGAGAAGAAGAAGAAGAAGAAGAAGAAAAATTTTCGAGGCACCCCACAAAACAATAACACTTTGAAGGACTCTGTGCAAATGACACAAAATAACTTTGTTTAATCACTCAACTGAAATATGACGAAAACCACTCAAGCACAGTCATAAAAAGCGCCAAACACTTTACATGAACGTTCCAAAAGGACTGAATTGACAATCGTACCGAACTCAAACTGTTTTAACGCAACGCTCCTTGCCTAATAAATAACCGTATGAGTGGTTTACCCAGGCAGAGTGAGCTGTTTTAGATAATTGGCCAGACTTACTTTTTAATCCCACAATGTTCTCCATCTAACCTTTTGTGTTTGGCACGATTTGTGGGGGCAGGCAATTACTTTTTTTTTTTTTTCTTGAGCAATTATAGCTCTGAGGAAATGATTTTATTATTATAATTACCATTATAAGTATTATACTTAGTATAGTTATTGCTGATGGAAAGTCCGGGTTCGAGCCTGGGTTCGGACACGGATTTTTTGTTTGTAGCCTCCTGCCCACTCAGCAGTAATGGATACCTGACTTAGAGTTGGGAAAGTAAAGGCGGCGTGGAAAGGAACTGGCCACCCTACCACAATATGCCGAGGGCCTAGGAAACTGTCTCACTAACAAGGCAATCCCCAACGTCCGGATCGGATGCGGGAACAACTTTACTTTTTATTGCTGATATTATTGTTACATGTATTACCATTAATAAAGTTGCTGTTGCTGTTGCTGCTGTTATTGTCGTTATTATTATTATTATTATTATTATTATTATTATTATTATTATTATTATTATTATTATTATTATTATTATTATTATTATTATTATTGTTATTATCATTGTACACTAGCGAGCAAAAGAAACGCAAAATCCTGTTTACCTTCGCAATGGTGATCATGTTCGTTTTCCATTTTTTACAAAACAGGGTAATTTAAACACAAACTGTTTTCTGGCGTTATGAAAGGATACGTGGGGCATCACCGGGAATATCAAATTCTAACGGAATACATTTTCAACTTCCGGTTAATGCACCAACATACTCAGTAGTGGTTATGGGCACTATTAAATCGGATAACAGCAGTACATATCCAGTACAAGGAAGCCACTAGGCTGTTGGTAAATCGTAGCGGGATCTTACTTACTTACTTTTTTCTTCCTCTTGTACCGGGGGGGTGTCGCGGGGAGACACAGGCGTCTGTCTGCAGCTAGGCGAGTGGCCTGTAGAAGGGGCATCCCGTGAGTTCTGAGGGTGTCTGCCTCCGATTCACTCCATCGTCGCCTTGGTCCTACTCTGGTTCTCCATCCAGAATATTTAAAGTTGTATGCTCTCAGAGCTGGATGGTTTGAGAGCACCCGCGTAAGGTGTCCGAACCACTTGACCTTTTGTTTTTCAATGTGTCGTTGGACTGGTGTTGCTCCTATAGTGTCCCTTATGACTTCATTTTTAATTTTGTCTCTTCTTGTTTTGTTGACCGCTCTTCTTTAGCATTTCATCGCGAGTGTGACCAGTTTCCTCTCTAGGGCTTTTGTTAGGGATCAAGTCTGGCTCTGATATGTGTGCGTTGGAAGCAAAATGGCGTTGATGAGCTTCGCCTTGGTGCTCATGGGGATTTTGGGATGTTTCAGGAGAGGGCTGAGTTGATAGCTGACTGCCTTGGCTCTCTGGCATCTAGTCTCTATTTCTCGATCTAATTTTCCATTTTCTGTGAAAATGCTGCCCAAGTATTTGAATTCTCTACTTTGTTTTAATTGGTATCCATTGATGTTGATATTCACTTTGTCTGGTCTCCTGCTAATTGTCATGACTTTGGTCGTGCTAATGTCTTCATGTCATACTTCTCGCAGCTCGCATTTAGTTGGTTCATATGTTCCTGTAGCTGGGTCTTGTTGTTCATCATTGCTAGCTCGTCTGCAAACATGAGTTCGTTGAGTGCCTGTGGGTTTGCCTCCACATATCCTAGATGGCCACACACAGTTCCCACGTGGTTTTTGGTCTTTGTTGTCTCCCCTCGATGCGTCGTTTAATTTCGTCCCAAAAATGTTTGATTGGGTTTTAAGAAGTGCTAAGGGCTGGGTAAGGCTGTGGAATGATGCCATGGTGTTGGAGGAAATCCTGTGTAACACGGGAAATGTGCGCACAAGTATTATCTTGCTGGAACCGGAAGTTAAAATTGTGTCTGTGTGTAGGGTCCTAAGAACTTCTGCTATGCAACAAACAACATTGATACCTTGACCTCGACCTTGGCCTTGATTTTAGAAGATCATTGGTCCTACTTTGTGGTTCCTCATGATTCCTCCCCATATCATGACGCGATGTCCTCCCCAGCGATTGCTCTTTATGACATAGCTGTCACAATTACGTTCGCCTCCCTTTTAATAAACTCTGAGGCCCCTGTTTGTTGTAACTATGGAGAACAGGCATTCTTCCGAAAATGAGAACCGAAGACCAGTCCCCCAGACGCCTGTTGACATGGTGCTGGGCCCAGCTGAGACGCTCTTGGCGATGGTGTGCGCTCAAGACTGGACCATGGTAAGGTCGACGACGTCTAAGGCCTACCTGACGCAATCATCGGTTCAACGTATGTCGACTTCTGGCTCTTCTGTGGGTACTCCCTACCAAATATGACATTTTTGTAGTCAATTTGAACTATACATCCGAACAATGTGTCTGTGTGCACGTACATCGGTCATTCTGGGTCGACCTGACCTTTTTCGGTCTGCAGTAGAATTCGCGAGCTGAAAACGGGCTATCAGTCTGTGGATAGTCGAGACGTGAACACCAAAATGATTGGCGACCACTATTGCCCTTTCTCGCTGTGTAGCCCTTAAACACATGCAGACGAAACGGTGGAACTGATTTTTTACCACGACTTTCATAGCCGAGCTCAGGTGAATCCTTTTCACACTTTTTCCCACTCATTTAGACCGTGTTTCGAGGGTGCCACGTGGCTTTTTCAATGCTCCAATTAAGGGGCAATAACTCTAGTCACAAGCAAGACTTTTTGATTTCTAACGAACCTGTGACATACTATCATTGATATAAATTATAGTCTTCTACCACTGATGGTAATTTAGTTATGGCCCAAATAGTTTTTTGCATTTCTTTTGCTCGCTAGTATATTATCATTACCGTGATGATGGTGATGATGACTATTAATATCATCATTGTTATAATCCTTAAATTTACGCCTCCACCCTTTCCCCAACTGACTCAATTCAGATAGTTTTGGAGGCAGGCTGCGTAGATCCTGCCCTCGGGGCCAAACAAGATTGAGTAGGATACAAAACCCTAGTAGACAGAGAGGGACACCCGATTTAAAAAAATCAACAACCAAAAAACTGTGGTGTAAAAGAATAAGTTGACACCGGCAAGTTCGTACTGGCGAAAATCTGACCTCGCACCGACCTGAATAGATTCACGAGACTTGAGAGACCCGTTCACCGACTGGTGTGATCAACAAGGCGAGTCGGTTGGGTGGTATATGTGAGGCAGCATGGTTGAATCAGGCTCTCGTCAATTTTTGAGCATGTAGAGTTTTGGGTATCATCTTAAAGTGAGTTCACTTGTCTTTATTTGGATGAAAAAAATATCCATACATCTTGAATACAAGTCGAGATATTTGCGAATGAAGGAGGTTGGGGTTACCTGTTTTCAGAGGTAAAATTAGTGAGAAAATGGCCGCCAAAGAGTAGTCATTTCCTTAACTTAAGAGCCCGTGGTAACTGTAAAATTTACATTTTTGGTGCCTTTAATCAACGTTTTCAAGAAAAATCCACAAAAAATGAGTTCTTTAATGGGCATGAAAGGTGTTGAGCCCAAAAAACAAAATTTTGATAAAAATTGACAAACCTACAGAAAAATGCAAGTTTCTTCATCTTTATTATTTTGACGAGAACCTGATTCCACCACGCAGCCTCACATATGGCCAATCGGGCGTTTTGTGGATCTAGATCTAGATCTTGAGAAGAACAGAAACATCATCGTCCAGAAGAGGGCCCCATATCTTCATTATCCAGCTCCATCAAAAGAATCAGCTTCTACAAGGTGAGCAAAGATTCTACAAAAAACCTAAAACCCTTCCCTGCTGGAGAATCGAATTCATGCCTTCTGTGTGCAGCGGCGAAGAAAGTAACCTTTACGGCACATAATTCTATAATAATGATTAATTGGTCTATTCTAATTTATGAGTGCAGCGCCCCGCACACGTACATTAACCACGTCCGTACGTGTATCGTTCTTCCTGGGTTCGACACCAAATGAAACTCGAGGTCAAATAGTATGACCTTATCAGTTGCAGGCGCCGAAAAAAACGATTACCAAGACAAAGCACAAAACAACCACCATCCCCCCCCCCCCACAAAAACCACAACATCTGCCGTGTGGTGGTTAGGCTCTTTACTGACATATAATATGCAGAATATGACTTCGTTTCTCGGCTCGAATAGCAGGGATTGTTTAATTATATTCTCCGTTGGTCTGCTGGGATGTTGAGTCTCTCTCAAACCGTTTTATCCGTGGCAGGCAGGGTCATAACTGCCCGAATCCCAGCGTTTTATAATGTACGTTTTATCAATAAGGCATCAATGATATAAAAGGCATATCAAGAATATTTGTTTTTAAAAAAATTTATATATTAAGTAGGCCTATGTATTTTCACAACCCTATCGACACAGTTTAGATCATGTGGGAGGCGGGCTTCCGAACCTTCCTGTCAGGGCCAACCCGAGTTGAGAGTGAGGCTTTGTAGTTTGACACAGGTTGGACATTGTCATAAAACGTTTATTAAAAGAGAAAAAAAGACAGATTAACCTAACCGTGGTTAATGATATTCTCAATGTGCAGTATGGGTGGTCATGTATAACTGCCAAAAAGCGTGGGAATAAAATGCAGGAAAAAAATCAACGCAGATGAAAAAGTACGAAAACCAATGGAAATACTGTTACGACCAACGAGTTTTTGAACTGCAGAGTTTTCAGGTGTGCACACGAGAAAAGGAAAACACAATGCTAATTGAAAACGAGCTATTTTCGTTTAAATAATGCGTCTATGGAAAAAGAAAAGTATGTTGTTGTTAAGAATAATTTCTCTTTATTAATAGAATTTAATATGTTTGTGCGTGATTGGCAGATTATGCCCTGGTATGGTTTGCTCATTCTTTCCTGTCAGATATATGTCTTCCTTATATCTCTTCCTTCTCTTCTAAGTAT